CTAGATATAGTATAAGACTGAATTTCAAATCACAGTAATATGATTAGGAGTGTGGTTTGTTAATTTTTTTTAGAAGGTATTTGAGGGCAGATACAAGGCTATGATTATTTAGGATTGCTAGTTTAAATGAATATAACAAATGTAATTTAACCTTCAAGAACAAATTGTCTCTACAGACTTTTAAATCAGTGTAAAGTCAGTAAAATCCTGAAAACACTTAAACACTGAATGGCTCATTTTAAATTTAAATAACTTTTCAACTTCCAATAAGAGAGATAAAAAAAAAATTCGCTAACATTGTCTTTTTACTTCAATTGGAGAGTAACCAATGCAAGAGCCTATGCAAAAAATATAGCCATATTATTTATGCATATGTTAACAGGCAAAGGAAATATATACTTGTTTCTACTTTTTTATTTAATATCAACAGTTATAATTTATAACTTAAATATAAAATGTAAGAATTTAAAATATTGAATGTTCATTCAACATTTTTAGATCAACACATTGTCTCTCTTACAATAAATCTAATCATCAGAAATTGTGCATTCTTTATTTACTTGAGTCATCTTTTGATGATAAAATCTTTTGCCTCAATTAATAATGTGTATCAATATTTATATCATTTATTAAATCAGATTTAACCAATCATATGTTTAAACTTGGAGTAGCAATCAAGGTTAACCAATCAAAGGCTCAAGTGTCAGAAACTTATTTTCAAATCAGCCAATCAGATGCTTAATAGGAAACCTAATTATTCTTTAAGAATAATTAGCCAATTAGTTTATACAACCGCAATATTTACTACATCCATGCATATCATTAATCTCAATTTACAATTTAAGTTGATTAATATTTAAATCTACAAAATAACAGTATACAAATTGTGAATACTGAACATAGATTTTAGAGATCTGATTTTTCAACTCAGAACTACTTCAAACACTTTTCTACCATAAATACAGTCAATGTTTTGTTTCAAGCTTGGATTTTAATTCTTATTGATGTCTTTTGTAATGTTCCTTTTCTACTTTGCATGTTATTGTGTTGTGCATGTTGTGTCTATAGTCGTAGATAAGACAGAACATAAACTACCTCCACCAAAAATCATTGTTTGTAAGTATTAGCTACTACTACTAGTATGTCAACTTAAAATGTTTCGAAATTCCTAATCACTGCTATATTGAATTATTAATCAAATTACCACTATTTGCATCAGAATATAAATAGCTTTGTTTTTTTTTTAAATCTGCTTTCTAATTTGCTAGGCCTTAAAAATGATTGCAATCAGCAAAAAAGACATATTTCTCTTTTGCTTGGTCTTTATCGCTCATTGCAAAATTTCAAGGTTCTCACTATCCAATATTGCTTTAAATCTTAACTGCTGATTTCTTTCTATAACTAACTAGAAGTTCTCTATGAAATCCATAAGTTATAATACAAATTGTTAATCCATATTTACAATTATACCAAACAGAATATCAACCATTGGCCATCTGCAATCTGCATAGGAACCTCAGCATTTTAGAGGTCTAGTTTTACTTACATTAAAAAATGTTATTTTTTACTTATAAAAAAACTTTAATTTTTGTCAGGGTTCAAATCCATCAGTTGTATTACAAATTATTAATCAATATTTTTTACAATTATACCAAAATGAATTATTATTAAATTGATCATTGGCCATCTGCATAGGAACCTAGGTGTTGTAGAGGTCAAGTTTTTAATACCTTAAAAACTATTGATTTTTATTATATAAAAGTCTTTGCTTGTATTACAGATTCTCATAAGAATTTTTCATTCCATCGTGATTTCTCTGTGATTTTGGAATAACAGGAGTATAGTTTTTTCTGTTCTGTCTCGTGTTTCCATGAGAAAAATCTATGTCCGCATAACTAACGCGAGCTTCTTTCGAAGCCATCTTTGTTTTTCCATTCTGTTTCATGCTTGAGAAGTCAATCTCCGCATAGCTAATTCGAGATTCTTTCGATTTATTTATAGAACAGTTATTTTCTTTATCACCATGAGTCGTTCGCTTTGACTTTGGAATAACAACTGTGTAATCGTGCTTGGTTGTTATTTTATTATTTTTCGACACATTGTGATCATTTTCGTGCTTGTTTTGTGTACCAGTAGATATTTTATCATTTATGAAAAAGTCATATGAGACCGTTGCTCGCTTATTTTCACTCGCTTTTCTCTCAGATGCCGGGATGACATTGGTGTACCCAAAACGCAAGTTTTGTTTTTTAATTGTTGAAAGTTCTTGATCTTCAATTATTGTGTCTTCTTTGCAGTTGTCCTTTGTATTTTCCATCACATTATTCATATTTGTGTTTCTTTTTGACTTGGGAATGACTTTAGCATAACCCATCCGTGGATCTTGTTTCCTTTTTGTGTGTGATATCTTGGCTTCCTCATCAATCGCTTGTGAGAAACGAAAATCTGTATGAATTGATTTTGTCATATTTTCTTTACCGGCACGCTTTGATTTTGGAACGACAGATGCGTATGTTATTCGAGATTCTGGTTTTTTATCCAACATGGCAGATAAGTGCTCATTGGTAGTGGCATAAACAGTGTTTCGGGCGGATGGCTGGGACCTTATTTTTGAATTTGTCCTTGGTGTAATTGTCATTCCGTTTTCCATGGAATTACCCATATTAAGAACGACATTAGTGTACCCATATGACTTTTTTGGACTATTACTCTCTGGGGTACTGCTGTGCCCATCGGGAGCACCCCCGTTTCTGGCACTCTCACCAGCAATGGATGTTCCGTTTCTCAAAGATCCATTGGTTTCCATGACCTCATATGGAGAATCTTTTTTACCCCTTTGCCCCTGTGTTCCTGACTCCAATTGGCTTGATTCATAGACCTCATTACTTATCTCTCTGTTGTTGTATGATGCTGTTGTTTGTTGTGTAGTGTTTTCTTTGTGTTTTTTGCTGTTTTTCTTACAGCATCCAAACATGAAAATACCAATGATTGCAATAATCAGAAACCCACCAGCTACTAAGCCCACAATCAGGATCATATTGTTACTCTTAACTCTTGATTTATTCCTGTATGGAATAGTAAGTCTAGCATCGTCTTTATGTGTAGGGACGATGGTTGTGGGTTCATTTTTAGTAATCTTTATTATATCACTGCCAACTCCTTCCGAGTTGCTTGCGGTACATAATAATGTCGCACCAATAGGGACGGAATCAGGAGCTGTGATAAAGAATGTTACGTAATCTTCTACGTTGAAACTGCTGAGCGGTATTACAGGATCAATGCTCCAGATGGGAGTAGTACTTGGTCTAGCATCGACCTCGCATTCATATTCCAGAGCAGATTTATGTCTCACAAGGACTGTTGGTGCGTAATTTACAGTGAATGTATCGACAGAGCACGTACGAGTTTCACCCGTTCGGTACTTTGTCGCGGTACAAATAAATTCTGCGTTATGATCGCTTTTAGATATAAAAAATTCATAGAGGTTGTAGACGAGTCTACCTGGTGACACAATTTCGCCGTTTTTGCTCCACCCGTAATAAATATCCGGTTCATGAACTGTACTTGATTGGCACATTAAACGCATTTCCTCACCTTCGGACGCACTTTCACCATTCAGAAATTTTGCGCATATAGGTGCTGGTATTGTCCAGGCAACAGAGAGCATGGATAAGCTGTATAGAACTGTAACTTCATTATTGTAAAGTACTGATAGATAGAAATCCATGTTTTCATAATTGTCTGTGGATATTTTGAAGGAAAGGCTGAAGTCAGACTGCTTCTGTGAGATTGTGAAAGAGTGCTTGTAGTCCTCGAGGATCACATGATTTTGGCTCACAATGTCTTTGTCTATTCCTTTCGTCCACTCAACAATGTGATCGTTGGTCAAACCGCTGATCACACACTCTATCGTTATGGATTCACCTGGAAATGCTGTGATTGTCTTTGAGGGTGCTTTAATGAATTCAACAGAAGCGTTTGTGTAGCATTTTAGCAAAATAATCGCAAGGAATATCTTGTAAATTGATGATTTTGCCCAGTTGAACATATTTGAAGATCTTTTAGTGTCATTAGTTATTGTCACAAAATTAGTCTTGTCTTCACAACATTTTATCTGATATCAAATAATAGCTTCTGTTCTCACAAAATTATTACTATTCTCATAAACCAATTCTCTCTGCTTTATTGGTATCAAATTGTTGTATGTTATACCTGCGATGAATATATTTCTCGCTGTCAGCTGCTGTCTCTTTTCACATGTGTTCCGTTGTAGCTATTTTTCTTCAGTTAATATCCTTGCAAAATTGTATATTTGTACCATACACTATCCTTCAATCATTGTATATTTGTACCATGCACTATCCTTCAATATTATTTTATATTCCTGCTGTCCACCTTACCTTGAAGAGGGATATATTATAAAACTTAGCAGCAATAGACAATCGTATTGTTTACTTCATCAAACTTTTTTTTTAAAAACATTCATTAGTTTTTTTCTGCAACAGAAACTATGCATGGCCTTTTTGCAGCTGATCAAAAAAATTTTTTAACAGCTTGAATCATGAGATCAAACACTTAAAGTTCCAGGATGCAATGAGAGTGTCTCATCATCTAGCGTAGTTGAGTGTATTCCTCCAATTGCGCGGTGTCGTGTAAGATATTTGGTCAGAAATAAGTTCCGTAGTTGAATTTGATCAGTTGTTATCCGAAGGAGACTAAATGTTCTTTGAAGCACTTAGATTAATACCACAGTTCAAGATACTTCCCTTCTTCTCAGCCAATTTCCCTTTTTCTTGTCATCTGAACTTAGTTGTAGTAAGTACTTCTGTTGAGGTAATTTGAAGTAATATTAATCAAATTGTTGAGTCGGCCCATAGAAGCATGTATTAGTCACTATCATCTTGACTTTACTGCCTTTATCACACGTATACTTATTTCCCTTTCAATGTATTTAAACTGGCTCAGCCCATGAATCACTGACTGGATTTCAAACATAGCTTTTAATTACTCCAAGAATTATTGGTTGTGCCATTTATCCACTTTATTTTTTTAAAAAAACCACACACAGGCAGGAACTCTTAACATTTTATATAGAAACTGAAAGGACTTTATATTTTTCATCAAAGTCAATTTTGACAACTAGTGTTAGTTAGTATTTATTGGATGATGTTTTTGATCTTGTATAACTGATCTAATTATTATTTAAACATAAGTACATTATATTCAAACCTCTCATACCTGTATATTGTATTCTGCAGTTGTAAATCCTTACCGGCTACAAAACAGTCATAATTCATAATTCATTACTTTTCAAGGCCAAATTCAGACGCTGTGACTCACAAAAGTTAATCTTGTTGTCTGTCTAATGCAGTGATTGGAGTTGGAAGTTTGTTGAGTAACATTCAGATAAGAAATCATCACCACTTACTGTTGTCCTATTATTGTTCACCCACCTTCAAATGTTGATGAATATTCATGAACCTGTTGAATATTCATAAGAAATATAACATTGTTAAAACTGTATGTGAATAGGAATTCATTGTTTAGCTTAGGATAGATGTAAATTCAAGTCAATGGTTTTGGCATGCAGTAATTTGTATCTAATGTGATTTACAGATTTTGGTCGAATGGTGCACGTTTTTCAGGATAGTGCCAGGAAACTTGGTGTATACATCACATCCTTTGTCCATACTTGCGTTATTTAAGCCCACGTCTTTTAGCCTTCAAAAATCAAAAGTTATCCAAGCACAGGAAAACAGTTGAAAGTCTTAAAAAGTGGGGATTATCTGACCCAAGGTTACCAAAATGTCATCACTGTTGTTCCTTCCAAAACTATTAATTGTAATTCGTAGATACGTTGATGATTTCTGTTTGAGGTCAGAAATAATTATGGTTTTTTTGTTCCTAAGCTTATCTGGATACCCATTATTTTACAATTATAATACACTATCTTAACTTTATTTTGATATCCAATTTAAAGAAAATATACAGTAGCTTGACTTGAATTATTATATAAACAATATTAATTTAAAATTCATAATAAAGATTTGATCTATAGATCCCAGTGAGCCAAATCCTCAGTCCTTAATTATTCATTGACAAGCCATGAAAGTAAGGTCTCCTTCCCTTTGGTAAAAATATGCTTATTATTAGTAGAGAAAGACCAAAAAGAAGATTGTCAATGCAACAAGTAAATTTCAAGCCACACTATTTGTAATCCCCTGAAATAAGCCTCTAAGTATTGAAAGAAATGAAGACCCATTACTCCCCATTCTGTTTGGACACGACCCAGGATTTTTTCCCATACAACTTAAGATTACTCATAGACAAAGGACAACAGGCACTCAAGAAAAATCTGTTTCACAATCTGCTGCCATGAATCATCAAGTATTGTGAATGACATATATAAGCTCTGTCCAGACTATCAAATTTCCTTCAACAAAAAAACTGTTGTATGCCCATATATAGTCATGATGTGCCTATATATGGTCAGGATGTGATGTCATAATGTCCATATTTGGGCATGTCAGATGTCTTTGTCAAATAAAATTTTGATTTATCTGGACAGGGCTTAAGATGATAATCTGCCCAGTAGAATGAAGTTGAGGAAATTTGAGAAAAATATTGTCTAATTACGAACCTGGTGATCTCACAGTGTTTGACTTAAAGACCCTGGGATCGGAAGACAAGCATCTTAGCCACTAAGCTACATCCTAGTTTAAATTATTTACTTCCAAGATGGAGTAGGATGTTATAGGCATAATACACACTAAAAAGGAAACCCACTAAGTCCAATGAATTTCTTTCCAACCTCTTCCTTCTTGAAGCCAGACTTTGGTTATTTAAAAACTGGCGAAAATTTGGAAAAAAAGAGTGGTTATGCCCTTTAGGCCAAAAAAAAATAAATTGTTTGTTTGCCCTTCTTTCCTTTTAAATGATAAATAGGGTGGGAAAAGTTTTTTTTTAAATTATTAGTTTTTTTAATACTCATCAGATGGAATAAAAGTAACCCACAGAAGCCTAGAATGGCAATATCTTACATCAGACGACAACTTTAGTCTAAATTGTAGGGCATCTGGCAAAAAATAAATATAAATTCACTCACATTTTTTTTAATTTGTACAGAAAAAAGCTAAAAAAAACTTTTTTTAAAGTTTTTTTTTTCCACCCTTATTTTTTTCAATGAGTTAGGTGGGTGGAGGAGGGCAAACAAACACATTTTTTTTGGCCTTATCCCCTGTTTTTAAATATTCAAAAACTTGTATGTCCTGATTTTTACATCAAACATGCTTTTTTCATATCATTATTTTTTTTACTCTGAAGCCTGGCTTTAAATTCACTTTCCCCAACATTTAAAGTTCACTAAATTTTCTTAGTCTCACTTGTCTAAATGCTTACTATACACAATTCTCTCTCATCTTTAAATTTAATTGTCCTTAAACATTTTTACTTGTTTTGCTGTTTTAATTTTAGCTATTTATCACTGTTTGTAACAAGTTGTTTTGCTTTTCCAAATACTTACTTTTCACTTCAGTTTCACTAATCCTTTGTTTTCCATGCTAACAAAAATTGCAAACTTTTCATACCCATTTTTAGATTATATCCCTGCTGGATATCTCATAAACAATACCTTGTTGCTAGCCCTGTTTGTGTAACTTCTTTCTGCTAGCCCATATGCCAAATATTAGTACATTTATTTAGAGCATATACCTGCATGGTAGCCTATAAGTGGTATTTACAGTACCTCTTTGCTAGCCCCAATGATAACTTGCCATGCCTTTGCTTATCATATACCGTACTTGCTTATTAGCCAATGTTAATACTTTTTTGCTAGTTTATTTCTTCCTTGCCATTACTCTAGTTCCAAAAGATCATTTAGCTTTTTTCCCCGTAAACTGACCAAAATGCTAACTTAATTTCTTGCTAGCTTATATCCTTAATTGGTTTGTAAATTATTTAATTGTCTATTATAATGCTTACCTATTAGATTAGTTGCTCTCTTCCTTTTTTAATTACATTAATTGCACTAATTACTCATATGTTGATATTCTTATGTTGATATTCTTATACCTGCTTACACATTTATTCAGTGTTTTCTCATTCTCTTTAATATTTGTCATCTTTTAATTATTTTTTTTCATTCTTTATTTTTTTATTTCCATCTTTGATTTTTACTAATATTCATTATGTGCTACAGTACTTCTTTATTCTATACTTACCATCCCTTTCTTTTTTACCTTTAGTTTCTCCATCCCTTCTGTCACTTAAGCTGGGCACTTGCTGTGCCTGACGGTTCGGCGGCCACTGCCATTCTGTGGAGAATACCCACCAAAAATCAGCAGACAGCATCTGATTGTCTAATGCTCTCAGGGATCAGAGTTGAATTCTTTAGCCGATGGTCATACGATCCAGGGAGGGCCTGGCTTTTGTCACCCACCCATAAATTTTCAGTCCATTTCCTCTCCCAGCCACTTCCTCTTTTCCCTTTACGCCTCTACTTCACGTCTTCAACAGGAATTTCCTTCCCATATCTCATCCATGCTTGCCTGCATTCCCAACTCCATGCCTTATCTATTTCTTTTCCTCATATCTCCTTCCCTCATTTTTCAATATTCTTCTGCATTCTATGGTACTCTTCTGTACACAATACCTCCTCTACATCCTATTTCCTTCCCATTTTCTCTCCCTCTGTTTATGCCACTTACTTATGCCTTCATTCTTCATTTTTCCTCTTCATTTCTCTTTCATGTTTCTCCCAGTTTCAATTTCCTTAGCTCCTTCCATGCCCCTCCTCGTGTAACCTCCTTCATATCTTGTCACTGTGCTGCCTCTTCCATGCCCCTCCTCATACCAGACCTTCTCTTTCTTTCCCTTATGTGACCTCCATTACTGTCATCGTACCTCTTGTTCTATATCCCATGTCTCCTATGTATCTTGTCGTCATACCCCCTCGCAATTCCCCATCTATTTCTTACAAATTTCATGCCCTACTCCTTCCTCTTCACATGCCTCTTCAATTCTGTTTTCAATGTACCTCTTCCTCTATATCATCATTACATCAGTTATATTTTTCTCTTCTTTACTTCAATTTTCTTTCAAATAATTGAACTTAGCATCATTCATTTATTGTTTTTTTTAATATATTTTTCAGGTGATTGAGTTCTTATGCTTTATTGTATGTACCTTCACTTTACTGTTTGCCTCTCTTTCTTCTTTTAGCTTCTATCGCGCAAGCGAACCAGGAAATTGTACTTCCAATACCAGTTAAAGCCAGCAAGCCGTCAAATATTCCAATTCCAAAGAGAGGTGAATTTAATCCCCTTAAATTTATCTGTCAGTGACCACATTGTGACTCATCATGACTCCCATTTTGTTGCAGCATGACCCTTCCTGACTTTCAAGTTTCCATGTTACCTAGTCCTCAAATCTTTACCTTATTTTTAGCTCCTTTTCATCATTATTTTTAATTGTTTTGCTTAAGTTTTCTCCACTCAATTATTAAAGTTAAAGAAATGAAAATAGAATGCAGCTTTCCACTAAATAAGAAATTAATAAGGCCCATAAAAAATATTGTTAGTTTATCACCCTATCGAGTGATGAGGAAAGAGGTTTTTTCTTTAATTTTTTATTTTGCTAAAGCAAAATATCATCATTGGGTTGTTTGATGGTGCATTGATATTCAAAGTAAAACATGATTAGATAATGCAAACAATATCTACTAACTATTTAGAAATAATTAAAACAAATAAAAAAAAAATTTTCAAAATATTTTAGCAAATTATATTATTCATAGCATTTCTTTTATATAACTGTTATGTTATTTGTATAATCTTGTATCTTATTGGTTCTAATAATACAAAAATTATGAAAAATATGACAAAGGCAAAATCATTCTGGAGAATATAGGTATGTGTCTGGGGGAAGTGATGACTTTGATATACATTCAGGGGACTAAGCTGTATAACAATGTTTGGCATTTCTGGCATTGACCAATCCAGGGTAAACCCTAGTAGGGTCTAGGGATAAGCCCCTGAGGTGCTTAGAAACTGGCAATTTTAAGCCCTGTCCAGACTACTACCATATTTTATTTGATAACAACATGTGACATGCCTAAATATGGTCATCATGACATCACATCATGACCATATATAGGCACATTATAACTATATATGGGCATATAACCATATTTCTGTCAAAGAAAATTTGATGATTTGGTCAAAGCTTTAGACCATTTTTAGACTTTACGACAAAATATCCCCAAATGGTTTTTTTTATGTGTATTTTTAGGTGTATGGTGTGAAAATATCATATGCATGTCTTTATTAATAGTAAAACTTTGCATTTTTTTTACTCAACAGTTACCAAGTCAGATGATTATCCACCTATCCCTAGTGGCCGTCGATCTCCGCGACCTTTGAAAAATAAAAATGCTAAGAAATGAAAACATGAATGAGCAAAATGTATTTTTATATATTATGATGATGTATCGATGAAAATAATTCATCTTTACAAATGAACAATGAAGATGTTTTGTATCTGGTTCCAACTCTACCTGTGAATTACAAGTTTATAGACCACTGCCTTTTGGGAAGGACATTTAACTGTTGGCTCGGTGTATAATATTTGCCAATATCCTAGTTAATACACTAGCTGCAAATTTTTATTTATATTACTGTACAGAAGTTTGTACATATTATACTGTATATCAGATTTTTTGTGTGTTTACAATAAACTGTATAATCATGTTGAATTTGTATTCATTATCTATATTGTTATATGTGTTTAGTTATATTAAGTTTAGTGTGACAAATAGCTGTGGTATATAGTGCTGGTGGTGATGCAGGCCCGTAGCATGACTTAATATGTGGGAGGTTCGTTTCAGTGGAAAGTGGACCCCTTGGCTAGTATGCCACGAATATCAATTTTTCGTTTTTAAATGCGGACCTTCTCAGTGGTGTATCTAGGGGAGGGTGTGGGGTGGGTGTGGTGGCACATGTCCCCCAAAAATTACTCGCGTCCCACCCCCCAGAAATCACGGTCAAGTAGTTAAAAATCACCGAAAATCACAATATTTTGTGAATTAGCGCCCCTCAACTGATCGAGCCCCTCCCCCCACTTCAACCTCGCACCCCTACCCAATTAAAGACTTCTAGATACGCCAATGGACCTTTTCCAGTTCTTGTATAAAATTTAAACTACTACTACAGCTGTCTCTTATACACATCTAGATGTGTATAAGAGACAGTGCTCATGATCGTGTTGGTGGTGATGATGATAACCACCCTCTCCCTTTTTTTTAGGGGAGAGGTTTTATAGGGGAAAGGTTTTAGAACAAGTCTCAAGCCTGCAAATTAGTCGAACTTGACATGAATGCTGCAACATCATCATTTGTAGGTATACTGTGCTCCCATTCACGTCTTCTGCAGTGCATCTGCGTTTCATCTACCAGGTTTTCATTACAGATATATAGACATAAAATTCAAAATGAGTATATCTATGACCTTCATATTGATTAAGTGTCACTCATAGCCATCGAAATGTAATCTCGTCGTAATACCGAAACGTTGAGGGCGTAGGAAAAATTCTCTGCAGTACAACCTTCCAATATCAATAAAAGAGTGCCACTGGTTTAGATAGGCATACATCTACCATTCTATAATGATGATAATTATGGAAATAATAACAAAAATAATAATAAAAATACTAAATGTATTGCTAATGGTTGGTTGTATTCTTAACATTGGAGTAAAAAAACAAAAGGTACAATACATACTCCAAGTATTGGGATTCATATTTCGACAGACCACAGGATTGATTAGGTTTTGAATAGGAAATTTTTCATGTAAATCTCATATGTCCCAAAAATTTTGCTATAATCATGCTCCTAAGTGGAAAGTTTAACCTAATAATTTTGATGTTTTTATGTCGTTTATTGAATGGTCTTTAATGATTATTACAGTCTTACAACATAAGGTAGTCCTCTCTTAACTTTTAAACTTCTGAACTTCTAAACTTTGCGTAGCTAAATATACATGTTTATTTCCTTAAATCATAAAAAAGTACATATAATTTTGATTGACTCTCAATCTCAGATAGGCCTCCAAATTTTATGAAATTACGTATTATGCATGCACCGACGTGAGAACCTTAACCTAACTAACTTTGATATTGAATGGATTTCTTAATATTACATTCTAATATGACCACAACATAAGGAAGTCCACTCTGTAAATGTTTAGAGCATAATATAGTACAGAGAATTTCGATTGTTTATCAATATCATTATACACATGTTATACACATGATCCAAATTCCAATACATTACGTTTTATGCACGCACCGGCGAGGAAAGTTTAAACATAATAATTTTGATGTGTACATGTTTTATATCATGTGTTGATTGGTCTTAGTTAATAATATTAAAGTTTAAAATTCATATTTTGATAACAACTTGGTGATAATATAACTTATTCTTAAAGGAAGCAGAATAATGCAATTCTTTCAACAATTGTACTCTGACCAAATCCAAACTTGATTGGTGTGATTTTACTTCCACCAGGAAATTAAAATATGCATAATTATCTTTTGTGATTTCAACATAACAATATATAATAAAATGATATATGCCTTCCATATAAGGTTATAACAATCAACGCACATGTATTCCTGTAATTGTTTTAGATTAACCATACATAGATGTGTATAAGAGACAGTTTTTAGACTTTACGACAAAATATCCCCAAATGGTTTTTTTTATGTGTATTTTTAGGTGTATGGTATACCTGTCTCTTATACACATCTAGATGTGTATAAGAGACAGTATATATATATATATAAAATTTAAACTACTACTACAGAACATCATTAACATTGGTGTATACAATAAAAAAATAGCATTTTTCCCCCGGGCCTCCGGCCCCGGCTTGAACCCCGACAGGGGGCCCTTGGCGGCCCGCAGGCCTCCAGTATCAGTGCTCGCTTTTCTGTGAAGTAAAATTATACGTATACTTTTACTTGGTTTAATTTAAGAATACAACCAGCTACATAAAGAAAATATTCGAAGAATGTATTGTTAGTTTAACAGCGATACAATATATAATGAACTATTATGAAGTTTTTACAAAATTAGGATAACGAATATGAGTACATCGCATCTCAGTTTATATATGTTTAAGCAATACATCCTTTTTGGCCAATTGCTTCTGTTTAACGGGTTTTTTTTTTTTTTTTTTTTTTTTTTTTTTTACAAAAGAACTATGTATACAAATACAAGAGTAATTTTTTTTCCAGTTGTTATTATTTAGTTTTTATTTATGCCAGGAGTAGGCCTACGAGGATTTTATCATGCCAGGTTTGCAGTTCTTTTTATTTAGTACTCACAACAGCAAATATCCACCAATTGTATTTTTTTAAGCATCATTTTACTTGCTTTTAGACTAGTAACTAATACTGATTTCCAGATCATAAATCCATGAGCCAATCGTAAAATGATCTTCCCACAAAATAGCGTCCGTTTCTGTGTAACGTTTAGCAGAAATGGGAGAATTCTCTATCCCAGGATAAAAAACAAAACGTCTTAGAAATTCGTTCCTCCCCTCTGCTATGAGACAGTACAATGACAGATGAAATCCTATGTAAAGCTGCAGCTCCCATGAAACAATGCCTTTTTAAATTCAAATTCCCAATCCATTTTAACTTTTTACCACGATACTTTATACATTTTTTACCCTTTCCATAATTTAAACATTTTAATACTCATTTTATATATTTTAGGTGTGTTCCACTATAACATTTTGAGCGAAATCTGCGTACTTATATGGCATTTATTTTATTGTATAATGGGCTTTTTAAAATTGTATGGTTGCCTCTTCTGTTAGGGAATATATATAAACATGAAGGTATAAAATTATACCTCCATTATATACAGTAAATACGGTATTAAAGATTACGCACTCAATAGCCAATAAGAAAGTATAATACATACTCCAAGTATTGAAATGCACGCCATCGTGTTTAATAGCCAATAATTGAGTCATTTAATTAAGTATCTCAAGAATGCGTGAATTATCAAGTTCAATAGTGCTTAGCATTAATTGTCATCATTTGTTGTTAATCGGCGTGTGTTTATTAGCTAAATGTTTATGTTTGTATGCTTTTATTCAACAGATTCATATCAAGGAGATATATAATACCTCATTTGTCATATTATTCAAGCCATCATGAATTGTAAGTTAGTAAACATCCGGCTTGAATCCCAGTGGACTAAATGTTAAGCTAATGGCAGTGTACAACTTATAATGGCGTAGGCCTACCCGGTAATGAGCAATTCCGTGGAATCACGGTAGCCGCAAACGTTATCATTCATTCATTCATTCATTCATTTTATTTAGACACGATAGCATTTCAACACAAAGGTTGTTTTACAAATGGTCGTGTATATCATAGTTTTAGTTTGTTTCAAAGAATTGTATTTCAGTGTTTTTTACAATTTAATCATCAGTTTTTGAGAGTTGGGACTTTAGGCATAGGCCTAGGCCAAATTTAAATGTAGGCCTATTGTGCAGAGTGACAATACTTCGACACACGCGACATTTTCATTGAACAGTAAACTATGAATGATAGGTCTAAATTTCAAAAATAAATTATATTGATTCATTATTTCACTATTTTAAAGAAAATATACTAGAAACGAAAGAGTTTGAGAGTGCCCCTTGAAAACATTACTGTAATTTAAAGTAGGCATACTGTATGTGTACCCATTGATATAATAAGACCGTTGTAACCCCGTCGATAGCATCAGTGGTTCCCAACCTGTTTGATTTCGCGAACCCCTCTGGATATACCAAAATATTCACGGACCCCATGTCCGAATAGTACCCAGTGGCCGGACTCAACATTTGAATGTAATATTCTGTTATCCCCCATTAACTTTAATTTTGTCAAATTTAGGGCTCCCTGCTGATTTTTAAAAAATATTATCCAGGTAAAATCAATACAAGAGAAAACATGGAAAAAATAACATTACCTGTGGATTGCCACTATCAAGTGGCTCTCCTATACCAAACATCTTTACATACAGAATATATAATTAAAAAGATTTTATCAGATCACCCATAAAATATTTCAATTAAAGTATCATGCCAATGGACCTTTCCGCTAAGCCCCGACCCTTGGATATTGTTGCTAAGGTCCTACAAGGCGACAGCGTTAAAACATAGGCGAACACGTGCGTTTGTGGGACAACACGTGTGTTTGTGAGACGCGCGCGTATTCCTAGCGCTGTTCTGATTAGTCAGTTGTTAAGTTTGATTGACACTCCGGAAAGGTCTATTGAAACAATTTACAGTGAACAAAGTCATGTCTGTCAAAGGTATTTCATCATTGTCAAGGCATGATCACACTATTGTAAAACAAAACAAAAATAATGGAAAAGTGAAAAAGTTGTTCTAATAATCTAGCGGACCACCAACATTTTTTTGGATCTCCCACATTTTTCGCGGACACCTTGCAGACCCCTTTAACTTGGTGGACCCCCAATTATTTTTCGCGGATACCAGGTTAAGAACCACTGGTATACATCTTTGGTACTCTTTACTGAGCTAGCTACTAGTAGAAGCAGTATTACGAGTCTGTTTATTCATAAACTTGGTATATATTAAGCATATGATCGTAAAGAAATAGTCGAAGCGGCACCCACTCTCGACTAGAGTATTGAATTACAGATGGATTGTTTTATTATAAGCGATGCTA